CATGAAAGACACTCTCAAATAAAGGGTAAAGCTGTGGAATTTAATATATTATCCTTGTGCAATTGCATCACACATTACGTTATATGTATCTAAGCTTATTATTTATGTTCGTTTTCACCTTTCATTATTTAGCTCGTGACTATTTTAGTTCATTTTTCATTTGTTTCTTTTACTTCTTACCTAAAGAGAAAGTAAGTAAACACAAAACCATGTTAAATGATTATTGAGTCTTTTATTTTATTTTATTTTATTTTTTGATAGAAAAATGAAAACTCAATAAATGTTTTTGTATTTGAAAATTACATTCTAATTTAAAATGATTATCATTCTATACGCATAAAGTGATTTTTTAAATATTGCAAGCGACTTTAATCCATCCTCGTATACTTTATTTATTAGTCAAGAGTTAATTGCATCACTCTTTTTTAAATTATAATCCTTATTTTAAATTGATTTTTAAATTTTGGATTATATTTTATCATTAGATAATTCTATTGTAAATTGATTCTCAAACTTTTCAACGTTTAAATTTTATCTCTAAATTATCAATATATACTAATAATGTCTTATACTAATAATTTTTTTGTTAATTATCATATAAACACTTATACATATTATGTAATAATATAATGTTATATAAATAATAGTTAATATCAAATCACATTTTTTTACACAAATACTAAATTAAATATTGGATTAAAGTTGAGGACAAACGTGATATTAGCACTTTTTTAATAACAAAAGATAGTTTTGAAGGAAAAAATATAACAAAACTACAAAAGTATACTCTTAAAATAAAAAAGTATTATTCTACCAAAAAAAATATTAAAGAAATAATTAGGGATATGTGTCCTAAAACGAAAAATTATTAGATAAATTTGACTTATTATTTTATTTGTCATCTCAACTAATAAGATCTATTTATATCATTTTTTAAATTAAATTTTAATCTCTATCTTTTTCTTATATGTAAAAAAATAAATAATTATTTAATATTTATATTAAAATAAATAAATTTTATTGATTAAGAATACAAATAAAGTGGTGATACATATCTATCAAATAATTTCTCGTTAAACGATACTTCTTTGCTTAGTAAATCTACCGAACCCTTTCTTTGGTTACAGCTGTATTCACGTCCTCTCTCTCCTCTATTATTTTTTAATTTTGTTTTTAAAATTGTTATTTTATTTCATTCCATACTTTAATTTCTCTTTTATTCCGCCATTGATTAGTACTTGTGGGAAAAAAACAAATCCTACACTTTCTGCCTATTTTCTTGACAATTATGAAAAAAATGGTAAACTATATAAATGATCATTGAACTTTTTAGATACTTACATTTAAGTCCCTAAACTTTTAAAACTTACAATACAATAATCAAACATTTAGTTTATTTGCAATATGATCCCCAACGTAATGGCCATTTCATTACAGTTAGGGTAAATTATATAAATGGTCACCGAACTTTTTAGGCATTTGCATTTAAGTCCCTTATTTTTAAAACTTGAAACACAGTCATCAATTATATTTTAAACCCCAAAATCTAAAATATTTCAATTACATTCTAAACCTCAAATTCCAAAATACTTCAATTACATACCCAACCCCAAATTCATAATCCATTTTCAAAATATTTCATAACAAACTGAACTTGAAGCAGCAACCTTAAACCCTCAAAATATAATTATTTCAAAAAGAATTAACCAACTATAAGTGAACAATATGTGATTATGTTGGGTTAGGGTTATATTGGACCAAAATAATCAATTCAGTTTATAAAATAATTGTCTCGAAATTTTTTCGATTTGAGTTTATAAAATTTAAATCAAGTCAAATTGAATTGAATTTTTGAGTTTTTGTTTAAATTTAATTATAAATATTTATCATATTATAATATTATTTGATTCTAATTCAGTTCAGTTTATAAAATAGTTGACTCGAAATTTTTTTCAATTTGAGTTTATAAAATTTAAATCAAGTCGCATTGAATTGAATTTTTGAGTTTTTGTTTAAAATTAATTATAAATATTTATAATACTATAATATTATTTGATTCTAATTTAAATAATTTTTTAACCATATACAATACTGTTGAAAGCATTTTGATGTTTCGATATAACAAATTAAGGTAAATAAATTTTAAGATTTTCTAAGTATATTCGATATAATTATTTGAATATGAAAATATTACTCCAAGTCTTTCAAAGTTAAATTTCAATCCTTACTAATGTGTAAAATTATGTTTTATACTTAAAATATTTTTGAAACAATTTTCACAAAGTATTTCGAACAAAAAACAAGCCTAAAATCAATTTTTCAGGTAAGTTTACCAATGCATGAATCAATGCATCGATGCACCATTGTTTTAATTGAACATCGAATGACTTTTATGTACCGATGCACATACTATGCATCGATGCACTCCATATATATTAAAACATCGAATTGATTTTATGCACCGATGCACAAGCCATGCATCGATGCACCCAGGCTTTTTCAAAACATCAAAACATATTTATGCATCGATTCACTATCAGTGTACCGATGCACTAAGGGTCCAACGGTCGAAATATTTGAATTTTATACATAGTGTACCGATGCACTAGCCTTATGCATCGATGCACCAGACACTCCCACTGATTTTATTAATTGTTTTCACACAATAACAGCTCCATTGACTCCACTAATCATCCCCAACGTTCAGAATCAATTGAAAGAGTATTTAAACAAGCTTAAAAGCCATTAATTAACAACAATCAACAAGAATCAAGAGAGAATCAAGAGAGAACCAAGAGAGAATCAAAGAGAAAACATCAAACCTCAAGTTTGAGCATTTTCGAGCCTATTTCATTCAATATTCATTTTTTCTTTCAAGAACACTTATTGTGCTCAATTGTATTATTCTTGAGTGTTCTTTCTTTGTTCTAGAATTGTGCAAACACATTTGCCTTGTGAGGTTTTTCATTAAGTTTGCGAATTTGTAATCTTCTCTTTGAGAAAGAGTGTTCTCAAGAATTTGGGTATATTCTTGAGGGAGTTGTAAGGTTATCTCTTTGGTCTCAAAAGGAATTTGTTGGAAAATCCTTAGCGTGGATAGCTAAGGTAGTGGACGTAGACTTTGGTTGAGAAAGTCGATCCACTCTAAACTGCTGTGCAAATTACTTTCAATTTTCTGCAAAAGCTTCCACCAAATTTTTAATTGCCAATTCACCCCCTCTTGGTCGAATTCATTGATCGATTAACTCAAAAAATACATATATTTCTTCATATTTTTCCATATGTGATATAATATATCATACAGAGTCAAGGGACTTAACTCAAACTTAAAAATTAATCCACTAATTACTAAAAAAATTTGAGATATTCGAGTTGTATTTTACAACTCGATTTTAACTTGAATTTTTTTTAAAGTTGAGTTTATGAAATTACAACTCAAAGTCAATTTTTATCAATTTTTTTTGAATCAATTCAAGTTGAAAAATAATTTTTTTGAATCGAATTGAGTATTATTCACTTATAGTTGGTTAAATCTAAATTTTAAATCCTAAACCCAACATAATCACTTATTCTTATGGACCCAAAATGAACTCAATATTGTTGATTATGTTAGGTTAATTGGTGGGGAAATTTAGCATTTAGGGTTAAGTTTTAAGGGTTTAGGATTGTTGTTTCAAGTTTAATTTGTTATGGTAGATTTTGAGAATGAATTATGAATTTGGGGTTGGGCATGTAAGTAAAGTATTTTTGGAATTTGAGGTTTATAATATAATTGAAGTATTTTGGAATTTATGGTTTAGAATGTAATTGATGATTGTGTTGAAAGTTTTAAAAGTTGGGGGATCTAAATGCAAGCACCTGAAAAGTTCAGTGGTCATTTATATAATTTACCCTAATGGCAGTGAAACCGCCGTTACGTCAGGGACCATATTGCAAATGAACTAAATGTTTGGTGACTGTATTATAAGTTTTAAAAGTTGAGGGACCCAAATACAAGTCTATGAAAAGTTCAGTGACCATTTATATACTTTACCCAAAAAAATTAAACGTTCCTTTATTTATTTGACATTTAATAATTTTAAGTCTCTAAATGATATCTTAAATTATGTTATGATGCCTAAATAATCTTTTTAAAGTGTTTAACTATACAATTATTACTATTTTTGTTATCTTAACCATATCGTCGTTAAATTAAACTGTTAAGCAACACATGTCATGTTCTGATAGTTTAAAAAAATATTTTTAAAATCATTATATTAATAAAAATCCTCTAATTTATATAAACTTACTATAAAAACTCAATCCCTAAAATTATCCCCAAATCTCAATCCTAGCCCTTATTTCTCTATTTTAAAAAAACCCTTATTTCTCTCTTGCCACCGATGACCACATATGCCACCGTCACCATTGCCATCTCCCTTCTTGCCCATCACCTTCCTTGTCGTCAATTGCACCGTCGTGGCTCGCAAAGTTGCGCACAAATAACTTTTTTCTTGCCATTGTCGAGTTTAAATCACGATTTGAGGTGTATTAGTGGTTGTTCGTCAAGTAGTTGGTCGTTAGGTGGAGGCGTGGTCGGGGTTAGGCCCGATCGATGGCCATGACGACGGTAAAGAGATGTGATCAACATGAGTATAAGAATTAAATTTTAAAAAATGAAACCAAAATTAAAATAATGATACTAACGTGTCACCTAAGATACTGCCACATTATCATTGAAAAAATAAAAAAATGTCATGCCAATATTTTTGTTAATTTTTTACTGTACATGGTCAAAAGGAAACAAAAAACGTTATGTTAGATATGATTTTAAAAACGTTAATAGCTGAGTGACTAAAACAGAATAAAAATAATAGTTTAAGTACTAAACTTGTAGTTTACGCATAAAAGAAATGCATAAATGGAATAGGATAAAAGAAAAATTAAAAGGAAAAAAGAGAACTTCCTCGTGATCTGTGAAACAGTCGTACGTGATACCCAGATTGTCTTGAAGCTCTTTAAGAACCTTTTTCGGTTCCGTGTTCTTCTTTTACCAACATTGAGCTCTGATTAGTGCTTACATTCCTTAAAAAAAACAATTTTTTGGAGTAAAGAGAAGACCAAGTGAGAGGGAATGATGTTTTCATAAGTTTTCCTTCAGCTTTTGTATGAAGAAAAAGCTTAATTCAAAGGTGGGTTCTTTGTTTTTTTGTTTGTTTTAATTCAAATTTAAATTCCCTTTCCTTTTCTTTTGCTTCTACTTAACTCTATGTTTGTAAGTTGAGTAAATTTGACTTTTGTTAGTAGGTTGGTTGCTGGTTTTTTAGCTGGGTTTTAATGTGTTTTTTTTTGGTTTGCAAGTAACCAACAAATATTTGGTGAAATTTCAATATGGGTATTCCATTGAAAGTTGAATTTATCTGTGGGTTTTCTATTTTAAGTGATAATTCTTGGTGGTTTTCTCCATTTGAGTTCAAGTTACAAGGCTTTTTCTTGTTTTCTGTTGATGGAAAAAGTATGTTAAATGATAAGAATTTTGAATACTGAGCTACATGGTTCTTTTTTTTATGTTGGGATTTTGTTGAACTATAGTCTTTCTCATGGAAGCTTAATTATGGTAACTTTTGGTTTAGGTAAAGGTCAATTGGCTTATAACTTAAGCTAGATTGCATAGCAAAGTATATAGTGAATGATTAGAGAAGATGCTGATGGCTTTTCTAATATATGTCATCAGTTTCATGATCATAGAATGATAAACGGAAATTTAGTTGGGAATTCTTTTTTTAATAGATGATTACAAGTTAATATTTGTTCAAAAAACTATTGGTCCTTTGACAATAAACGCTCAGACAACACTGCAGAGGTACTCGAAGCGGGGACATCTAGGGATAACAGCCTTCACTTTAACTATTGAGGTCGTTTGCTTCATGCTTAATTAGAAAATTTGATCATTGATGACATGCTTCTTTCGTTTACTGTCTCTGGGCATATTCTCTTTCTTATTTCTGTGGGCAAAATGGGGTCTCCAGTTGTTTACTGGTCTTAGATACAGAAACCAGCAAACGAGATTTCCTTGTGAAAGAAGTGGCAAATCTGTGCAACTCAGCTCTTTTGATGATTTCGATAATGTTTACTTTAACCGCTATTTTCTATGCCCCACCCCTGATATAGTTTACATTGCACAAGATTTTGATCGATTTTAACTTGGAGGGTTCACCCTTTTTCCAGTTTCTTTGACTTCTATCGGCTGGTTTAATTTCAATGTTTTTCAGTGATACCAGTGTTCTATTTGGATCTTCTTTGAGTTGATTGTAAAGTTTTGAACTGGAGAACAATCGGAACTTAATAGAGGCATATGGGCGCAAATGAGACCCTTTAAGAGGCTACTTGCTTGGCTTGGAAGCAACAACCTATATGGCTTCGCTTACTCCCATATAGATATTTACATTAATTTTTAGGAGATCCTGGTGGTGAATTTGTATAAAATTTTTTCAAATTGATGAAACTGATAGGAGAACCTATCAACCTAGATCTATGATAAGATCCACATGTCACTTTAATCGTAATATCATAGTACCGATCGTGACGTGGAATACCTCAGACAATAAACTGATGATACGTTTATCACTGCTGAAAACTTGTAGTAAAATTATTTTAGTAGGGAAATGATCCTAATTTCAAATGATCTTGTTCCAAGTTATCAACATGTGCAGATCATACAGCAAGGAGATAATTTTGCTACAGCATGCGAGTCGGTTTGTTTTTGTGATCTAATTTTTACTTTCCTGATGAAATGACAGGGTTGAGTTGCCATAATTTGAAGCATCTTATACAATGGGGAAATATTTGTGACAATAATGGACCCTCAGGCTTTCATTAGGTTGTCAATAGGCTCTCTGGGTCTGAGGATTCCTGGATCAGCCCTGAATTCGTCAAAGGATGGAATTCGTGCATTCTCTTCCTCGTGTTCATGTGAGATACGACTCCGAGGTTTCCCCATGCAAACTACATCGATTCCTTTATTATCCTCACCCGAAGCCACACTGGATATTCACAACATTGCCTCTAGCTTTTATCTAGAGGACTCTGATGTGAAGGCTTTGCTGACCCCTGGCTGTTTCTATAACTCCCATGCATCTTTGGAGATCACTGTCTTCACGGGGAGGAAGGGGTCACATTGTGGTGTTGGAGTCAAGAGACAGCAGATCGGAATGTTCAAGTTGGAGGTGGGACCAGAATGGGGTGAAGGGAAGCCGGTGATACTTTTCAATGGATGGATCGGCATTGGCAAAAACAAACAGGAGAGTGGAAAACCTGGTGCTGAACTTCATCTGAGAGTACAACTCGACCCTGATCCGAGATACGTGTTTCAGTTTGAAGATGTAACCATGCTGAGTCCTCAGATAGTACAGCTTCAAGGTTCCGTCAAACAACCGATTTTTAATTGCGAATTTAGTCGAGACAGGTGACTCTTTAGATGATTGTTTGTTATTTTCTTTTCGTTTGTTTACGGTTAATGAAACTCGTCATGTTTGCTTCGAAATGGTAGGGTAGCAAATGTGGACCCGCTAAGCACTTATTGGACAGGTTCTGCTGACAGTTTGGACATAGAGGCGGAAAGGAGAGAGAGGAAAGGATGGAAGGTGAAGATACATGACCTCTCCGGCTCGGCCGTTGCGGCAGCTTTCATAACCACTCCTTTTGTGCCATCAACAGGTTGTGATTGGGTCGCCAAGTCCAACCCGGGAGCTTGGTTGATCGTTCGTCCCAATATCTACAGGCCAGAGAGCTGGATGCCTTGGGGAAAGCTGGAGGCGTGGCGAGAGCGCGGCATCAGAGACTCTATCTGCTGCCGATTTCACCTGCTGTCTGAAGCTCAAGACGGAGCAAAGGTCCTCATGTCCGAGATACTCATCAGCTCCGAAAAGGGCGGGGAGTTTTTCATCGACACCGAACGACAATTGCGGCGGGGACCAACTTCAATACCAAGTCCGCAAAGCAGCGGAGACTTCTCCGTGTTAAGTCCGATCGCCGGTGGTTTCGTAATGAGTTGCAGAATCCAAGGGGAAGGTCAGAGTAGCAAACCATTAGTGCAGCTGGCTATGAGGCATGTAACATGTGTGGAAGATGCAGCCATCTTCATGGCACTTGCAGCAGCTGTTGATCTCAGCATAGATGCATGCAAGCCTTTCCGAAGAAAGATAAGGATAGGGTCTCGCCATTCCATATGAAAAAAATGAAAAACGATTTAAGTTGCTTTGTTTCCATGAAAACAAAGTATGTCCCTTTATTTGTGTAACATTTGGCACTGTGTATATATCTTGTGGTTGATTAATTATTACTTTGCTTACCAACTCTTGAACAGAAGCAGATGGAAAAAAAATTATACGAAAAGATAAACTTATAAAGTTTTAAAACTAAAACTAAATAAAAATATTAAAAATTTTGAGGAATGACCGTCGTCAGTTGTTCCATCACTGCTCTCGAACCTTTTCAAAGTTAAGAGATAAAGTACCTAAACCATGGAGGACAAGGGAACTAGGGAAGAGCCGGTGATGCCATGGTTTTTAAACTGCCAATGACTGTTCATGAAATATTTCTGTTAAAATTTTAATCAATTAATAAATATTTGACATGTGACTTAGTTTTTTTTTCAAATTTTTATTTTTTAAAAATGTAAAAATCCTATTTTTTTCCTTTTATTTTTCATAAAGTACTCCAAGAACTTCAATTCCGTCATCGACCACCATCACCGCTTACGATTATCACTCATCTGCCACCCACTCACCGATTGGGATGGATGCGTGTTGAGATTTAGGGACTTTGAAACTACGATTGTGATAGGAGATGACAGTAGAGTGATAAATGTTGGTCGAAGTTGAAGAATCAAACCTAGGGATCTAGACTCGATCAAAGAACGAGATTGGTTGAAATTATGGTTTTTATCACAAACTAGGGTTTCTTGAATGAGGAAGTTGCTGAAAATCAAACAAGAAGATGATGATTAAGAAGATAATATAATAATGATGATAACTATGTAAAAGAATTACGAAAAGGATAAATAAACAAATGAAAGAACTCGTGTTGAAAATTCCTCTGGTATGTATAAGCTTGGCATGAAGTGTAATATCCCAAATTTTGGCTAGTAACTAAAATGTAATTTTTGAAAGTTTAGTGGCAAAGTATAAACTTTATAAAAGTTTAGGAACTAAAGTGTGATTTTCAAAAGTTATATAATTTGGCCTGTAAATGAATAATTCACCCTCAAGAATGATATTTTCGCGGGTTTCATATTTTTAATTCGGAGCTTGTATTAAATGCTATAAAACGATAAAGTTCGGTAAAATATTCAGATAATCGGATCGAATAAGAATTTTAAGAAATTTTGAAGGATGATAAAATAAGGTTAAAAATATTATTTCCATAATTTATAATGGTGAAATTTGACATGGATCATTGGATTAAGATAAAGTTTTCCATGTTAAATCAATATCGTTTAATTATGGTGACAAGTTTGTAATTTTTGAAAATTACAAAGTTAAAGTTGAAAAGTATGAAATAATTTGTTCATGTTTGAATTTGAAGATGATGTGAGGAAGACGATGTCGGTAATGGAAAAGTAGAAATTATCATGTTTTAGTAATGATAAAATCGTAAATTATCATTAAATGAATTTTTAAATTCATTTAATTGGATTTTTAACAAGTGTAATTAGATATTTTGTTAGAATTATCAAGAAATTTTCTCATCTTCAACCCTTGTAGCCGTGACCTCCATAGCTAAAGGTGAGGAAGTATTCAATTTCATTTTTAAGCCATTTCCTTAGGCTTTTGGATTAAAGTGTAAAATAGAGAATTAATCTACATTAGATTCTCTATCATTTGATATAAATATTTCATAGTTTTCTTGCTTGCATCATTAATTTGGTTGTTGGGATGGATGAAGAACAAGTTAAATTTTGATGTTAGTGATGTTGTGGAGTTGTTTCCAAGAATCTGTGATGATTAAAAACATGTAGAAACGTCTATATGAAATTCAGTCACCTAGGGTTTATGGAGAAATTTTTTTTATTTTGGATTGAATTGATATGAAATTGATTTTAATTGCTTGTAAATGATGTTGAGAGGTTGAATTTATTCTTGAATCAAGTTGGAAATCATTGAATCCCTACTTTATAGAATGATTCTACATGCTTTGGAAAGTTGTTTGGACCAATTTGGAACTTGGTGGTGAGAGTTTAAGGACAAATTCACATATTTTAGGAAAATTTAGAATTCAAGTGTAATTATTCAATAATTGAAGTATTATGCTGGAAATGAATATTGTAATGTTGATTTTAATGTTAGAATGTTATTTTGGATCAATTTGTAAGTTTGTTAAAGTTTGGGGACCAAATCACAAATTATATAAATTATGGGTTTGGATTGGAATTTGATATAAATTTGATGAGTATGATTTGAATACATTATTGGAATGTTTGATTATATCATATGATACTTGAATTTGGAATCAAATGGCAAAAAGAACTATTTTGAATAAATTGCAAATGTTGAGATGAATTCTAAAAGAATCTATTTTATGGTTAGATTATGGAATTGGAAGTGAGTTTGGAAGTTGTTGTATTAATATGCATATTTAAGGACTTGAAGTGTAATTTTTGGAGTGTTAAAGTCAACATTGATGTTGTGAAGTATATTTAGTATCGAATAAGTTTAGAATGATTTTTTATGATTTTGTTATTAGAATGCGCCTATGTTAGTATGTCACTAACATATTCTTTGAAATGTATGTGTTGTGAATGTGACTTTTGTATAGATTTCGATCAAAAGCGTAATCAAAGCGAACCAAAAGCAAAAGAAAAAGTACACGAGTAAAGAATATCGACGTTAAAGGATTGGTAGTGAGGCATTTAAGGTGGTGCATTCTTACCTACTTATTTATATTATTATGATACAAGGGAGACTTGTGATAAATCAACCTTTAATGTTTTCGAAAGAAAAAATGAATATAACTCTATTATGAAATATTTTCATAATATCTTCTGAAATGATTTAAGAATGATTTCGGGTATGAATCGTCCAATTACAATGATTTATGTTATTGTTATCTTTGAAATGCAATTGGAATATGTTTTTGATTATAAAACTCATTGCATGTGCATTGAGAGTTATTTATATGATTGACATGTCATGAGGTTGAGTGATTCTGTATATGGTACATTTGTATGCATAAGTCTGGCACTATATGTGCATTATGAGATTCATGATGTTTTGATGTCATGAATTGTCATTTATGATTCTGATCTGCATCGTGATGTTGTGTTCTACAACACCTATATTTATGTCTGGCACAAATGGTGCAATTTTTTTTCCAGGCAATTGCTACTGCATATTGTGCACACTCGTTTAACTCGTGTACCTTGCATTCTCAGTTGTTGTACGTTGGACTATATGTGTTTAATGGTATGAAATATGAAGGAATAGTTAATTCATTGAAAGTAAAACTTTCTTTGAAATTCTGATATAAGATTATGCATTTATATTTCGAATGCCATTTTTTAGGTTTCTTATGAAAGAAAAAGGTTTATTTAGTCTGTTTATATGTTCTTATATTATTATAAGACATTTTTTGTATACAAATTTTATTTACTCACTTTTATATTGATATATTTTATTTATTTATGTATAATACTGCATTAAGTGAATACTTAGTGTGTGAATGTTTCCCGTATAGATAAAGGAAAGAAAAAACCAGTGGAGTAAGGAGCATAGCGGGCATCACTTTTTGTGGATCACACCTATTCTCAGTATTAGTATGATTTTAAGTTATGACAAATTAATGCTTAAACTTATATTTTTAAATAATAATGTGAGTCATTCATTAATAAAATGACGCAAAGATCAAGAATTACAATCGTAAAAGTAATCCAAAAAGTAAAATTTAAAAGTGAATGTTAATTCAAATTTTGTTTTATTTAAGAGAGTCATTGTTAATGATTATTCTCTTAGTTTTCCTATGCTCCTTTTGATGTAACCAATAAACCATATTTGTGTCCAACGGTTGTTTTCTCTTTTGTTTATATGGTGAGTAGTTCAAAAAGTATTATTTTGTTCGAATTATATATTTTTTAAAGTTGATAGTTCTCTTTTGATTTTTTTTTTATTTTAGAATTTGAATGTGGTTGTCAATTAAGATACAAAAGTTAAAAGCCACTCAAACTAAGTTAAATATTATTAATTTATAATCGTGTTTTGATTTTGTTTATGGATATTCTAAATTTTTATTATGTTTAGTTGTCAATTATATTTTCTTTCGTTGATTTCTTTTGTTATTTATGAAATATAGGTGAGAGTGTATTATATTGTCGATTAATTTATCTAAAAGTGAGATAAAACTTCAACGACATGATTCAGATGCTATAATTCTATAAATTTTACTTCATAATTTTATGATATAATGTTACTGTGAAAACATGCTTCCGGTAATAAAAAACGAACACAAAAATTAATACAATCACGAAAGAGAATTTTAGATAAATTTTTGTATATTTTTAAAATTTATTCTTAACTACTTGTTATTAGAGGCTACATTTTTAAATTCACCTCGGCCTATCAAAATCTCATAAATGGGCACGTGAGCAGTAAAATCCTTATGAGAATGGATACATAGAAGAAGTTGCAGACTTTTGTCTTCCCTACCCCATTTGCGGTAATTTTTATTGGAAATTGGTGTTGATTTTCTGCTTCATTCAGTCATCATCTTGAATATTTCTTTTTAGTACAAGGTTTTAGTCTCCTTTTCGCGTCATCTTTAGAGCTTGATGTAAACATGCACCCTTTGACATGTCAAAAGCCAACTAACATTTCATCAAGCTTTTATATTTTGGCACCATTTTTTTCTTCATCCATGGCTGCCATGGCTGCTTACTAGTTTACACCTACTTTGTTGCCTCACAGTTTTCTGGCTTCTTCTTCATTCCCTTTCCGCTGATCCTGATCCGTTACAAGACTTTTGTGTAGCAAACCTGAGTGGCTCGGTTTCTGTTAATGGTTTTCCTTGCAAATCGGCATCCGAGGTGACTTCGGATGGCTTCTTCTTCGATGATTCCACCGAAGAAGGTAACACGACGAATCGCTTCACTTCGTCCCTCACGCCTGCAAATGCGCTAACAGTCCGGGGCTGAATACACTTAGAATTGCGATGAACCAAGTGGACATTGCCCCGGGTGGAATCAACCCACCTCACTGAACCCTCATGCGAGTGAGGTCGGTATGGTCATCGAAGGGAAGCTCCTCGTAGGCTTGGTGACTATTAACAATGTGTTTTACTTGA